CATAACAAATGACACTGTGGGTATTAGTGACAACCTGGGATTAGGACAGATAACGCTGCTTCAAAGACGTATCGATCAGCAGCGTTCTTTGTTGCATTCACTGAACACTGAGTGTGCAGTGAACCATCTGGCTCTGCACATCTAACCTCGCCTCCTTCTAACAATTGAAACCATAAGAACCTTTCATCCTGCACCGCACAATCTCTTTAGGAGCCTGAAAAAGATTTGCCCGAGTGCCAAGATGAGAGAGCAGGCTAACACTGAAATGTCAGAGCATGTTAATTAACACAGGGAGCAATAACTGTGATCAAGGCTCCCTGGAGGAATGGAAGCAACGTGTAACCCAATCTTCCTGGGCTCTGCCTCTCTGGACTGATTGGAAAAGATTCCCAGCTTTCTGAATGGTGTCAGCACCAGGACATGCATTTGAGTTTGTGTAGACCTTTCACACAGTCACTATAAGGTTGAACTGATCTGCCTTTGCTACACTTCAGTGTGTAAGTTTCAACCAAAGTCTAAGACAGTGGGTAAGGAGCCCAGCAGGCAGGTCAGGGATAAATCTGCGGAGAAGGTTAAAGCAGAGTGAAGTTCAAACTGAATTCCCCGCGTGTCACAAGTCTGGAGGAGCTGCAGAGACTCACAGCTCAGGTGGAGAAAACTGACGACAAAATAACTACAATGAACTCCGTAAATATAGAAATTATGGAAGCAGAAAAGAGCAGGAGAAAACAAACATGTACAATAATGGATCTAAAGAAAAACCTTTTCAACAATGGTCCAGTCAACATTTGTTCAAAATCTGAACATGTGCTTAGAGTGAATATTGTGAACAAATGCAGCCTGTCCTCGGCTTCACTGCAGGGTTTCACACACTGCGCTGTATTTGGTGTGTGTCGCTGCGCTGACCCGTTCCTGAGCGGTTCGGTTTGGTTCTGATGGACCGCAGCCTCCTCCCACTGGGAGGAGCGGCTCAGGCGGTTTACAGGCCACAACGTCTGTCTACTCCCACAAAGTGGTGAAAAAATGATTTGTGGTTACTGAGACTATTTAGAAATAAAAATTCGGCCCGGAATATTATTCATGCTACTTTTTTATGGTTCTTCAATAGAAAATCAAATGCATCTCGATGCCATCATAATTAGTAAATGTCTGGACATTAGAGACAAAGAAACATCTTAGGTCCAAAAACATCCCATGCTTTGAAAATATCTCAACTCTGTTCAATCCATCATATGAACATGGAAGGACGACAAAATGGAAACCCACCAAGACGTGAATGTCAACCTGAACCAACAGCCAAGACAGGAGAAGATCCATCAGAGGAGCTGCAGAGATCTGCAGCTCAGGTGTAAAATCTGCTGCCGGGAACTTTCCTGCACTGACCATGAAGGAAACCACTGATGGAAGAAACAACCAGTAAGTCCTGTTGCAGTTTTCCTCAGGCCCAGTAGGGGGCCAGCAGAGGAAGGAGCTCTGCTCAGATTAGACCAAACTTTATCTGGACAGACTGATTTATCGACCATTCTTATGCTTTCAGTGTTTTTCATATTATATATTTATATACGTTTTATATTTATAATGGCAAAAAAACCTAAATCTTACCAAGTACTTTGGTCTATTCTATAGTCTGAATATCTTACTTCACTTGAAATAAGACAAAACTGTCAAGTAAATTTTCAGCTTGTTTTAATGAATAATTCTGGCAGATTATTTTATTTATAACATGGAAGAAATGCCTTTTTATAAGTGAAATAATCTGCCACTTTTTCATCAATTGAAGAATTATTGACTTAAAATAAGCACTTATCTTGACAAAAGGTAACTTTTAAAATAGTTTTACATTATTTCAAGTATACTAAGGTATTTGGACTAGAAACTAGACCAGAAATACTTTGTAATATTTTGTGGTTTTGCAGTGAAATCGTTGCAACAGTTTCCTTGACATTTTTTTTTTGTGAAATCTTTTGAAAGTCATGCATCTTTTCTTCCACTGCTATAAGAACGTTGTGTTGGTTTGACTCTTGTAAGATAATTTTTTCCTCTAAAATGTGTTGACTTTAACATACTGACTGCTGATGAGCACTTTGCAGAATCCCACTTCAAACATTGAAAGTTTTCCTATGAAGAATGCAGAATGGAAATCAAAAGCTTTTAATGTTTGGAAAGAAAATCAGAACATGACTTAGATCAAGTGGAAATATTCACTTCTAACATTCATAATCAGGGAATAATTGTCACATTTGAGTGGTATTGCTTTCTGCCTCCTGCCTCCTCTGCAGGCATGACTCCATGATGATATTCCTGAGTGAAAATCCAACATTTGTTATGCTGAAGCTGCAGCAGCATGCCGGTCAGGGTGCCAAATGCATTAGGGCTCAGAACAGAACGAGTGGAAAACAGACACAGTTTCAGCCTCTGCCAGCAGCTTCGGCGTTGCCAGCCATGCCTGTTTCCTCTCTCCTAACAGCCACTGACATGCCGGATGGAGGAAAGCACGCTTCCTTTTTTCAGAGGTGTGCTGGATTATGTACTAAATCTCAACTTCAATAAGAAAACTCTACAGTGTTGCAGACAGAGCATGTTTAGAGTAAACAGCTTGAAACGTCTGGAATTTCACTCTGTTGTTTTCTGTGTCTAAGTGTGGAAAAATACAAATCAGGGTGGAAAAATGCAGACTTTTCCTTCCAAGCCTTAAAGGTTAAAATCCTAAAATGTTTAGTAAATTAAGTTGGTTTTAATTTAAATCACATGCTCTGTTTCTGCTATGAGTCACTGATTTTAACATCCCTAATTCAAACTTCAAAATAAGCCTTTTCTCACTGTATTTCCTTTGAATAGGCCGTTAGTAAACTGGTGAATTATCGCCATCTGTTGACTGGAGGATAAAGCTCACAATAAGCTTAAGGTATAATATTTAGAATCGGGCACACAGGAACTAAATGATCAGACATGTTAGCTCACCTGCCTTCACACACAATCACCAGCTGCAGAATTAGTCACAGATTTAAAACAATCTTTTAATTTTATCAACATGTTTTGTTTCTGAATGGAAGATTTCAGAGTCCTGATTAGAATCTGATAGGCTGAAAATTAGGGTGATGGTAAGGAGGCTTCCCCACTTCTAGAAAATGCTCAGCTATTAAAATAATGTTTTAAAGATGTTATCATTAATTAGTATGAATAATTTTCAACATGAAAATTATATCAAAATTTAAATTAAAACTTTTAATTATTTCCCTCTTTTACATTTTCAGTGTCTTTTGAGAAAACTGAATGTTTCTTAGTCTTTAGATTTTCTGGTTTTCTGGTTCTGGAATTTGATGTTTGGGTTTTATTTATTAAAATTAGAAGGTCAGTGCAATAACCAGCAGAAACCTGAAATTGTTGAATTGTTCTTTTATCCTCGGTTTTATCAAAACATCTTACCTTTTTTCATCAGTTATATGTGTATATAGTTTAATAAAAGTGCTGCTGTTTTTATAGACCTGTAAACTCACTCTGTAACTTTATGAATCTGTTTGTTTTTTTTAAGTCGCCTCAAATGTCTTTTTTAAGCATCGCAAATCAGACGTTTGCTGTTAACAGATTACATTTCAACCTGAAAACAGAGAAAAGTTGTGAATAATAGCAGCTTTAATCTAAGTTTGTCCTTATTCACAAATTAAAGCAGCGACAACAGATCCAACAAACTGTATGATGAAGTATTACAACCACTCACCAGCATTAAACAAGTTATTTCAGAAACTTTAACTTGACAGTAAATGATGGCTGTTTTTCTCAGTGTAAACTCAGAAGCAGGATGAATTCACACAACTCAGAGGAAATGATCAGTATTCACTCTGATGTTCAAGGAAAATCTGTAATTTAGAAGTAAATCTGTAACTTGCTCCTAAATTGTTTTTTATTTTCTTTTGCACGTATAATTAAATCTGTCATATGACTTCATCTATTTCCTTAAGAAACCTCATATTTTGAACTTCTAAGGCCCACTTAGCCTTTGAGCTGCAGAAAAGGCAGGAAAAAACAGTAAATCACTTCTTGGTGAAGTCAGTGGTGGGTGTAAAGCAGTGGGTCACAGTTTATGTGCAAACTGCACAGAGTGGTCAGTAGGTTCACTGAGGTTTCCTCTTCCTCTCCTGCCTACCTGTCTGCTGCCTCGCTCCCTCTCTCATCCCCAGATGAAGGTTTTCCAATCAGCTCCAACCGACCCGCCGCAGGCAAACCAAACATGGCCGTTCTGTTCATTATTATTCTCTTTGTTTGCTCCACATTAGAGGCCTGAATGTCCGCCGGTGTCCTCACATGCCCTGACATTCTCTCCTGACATCCAGCAGCAGAGGAAGAACAGAATCACTGCGGCAGCCCGGAGCTTTTAATGCAGGCTTTATGAGTTTACACAGGTGGAGGTCCTGGACTGCAGCTTTTCTGCTCAGCGTATGAAATATTTACAGCGGTTTGGACTTTCTTGTCTTGGAAAATTGTTGCTCACAAATATATTAATGAGGAAAGGTTAACGTAGAAAACCGCCATCAGTAAGCTATTCCATAAGCTGTTCTGTAGTAAAAAATGTAAGAATCTGAAAGTGTGGCTTTGCACAAAAAACTGAAAGCTAAAAAATATTCCAGTCTCCATTTTAGTTATGATGCCTCTTTTCTCCCATCTAAACTCTGTTTTAATAAATATCAGTGTTTGTTGCTTTTTTAAGGCCCTGATTTGGATTTGTAGATCAAGTTTCTGTCTTGTTTTTAAATTACTTTTAGAAAAATATTCAGTTTTTGTGATGCTAGCTTAGCCATGGTGTGTTTGTAATGGTGTGTTTTCTTGAACCCTTCTCCTGACTGATACCTTTGTATAGTGAGATCATTTTGTTCCTTTGTAGCCTCTCAACTAACTAGCTTTAGCTAAATAAAGTAAATGTAAAAACAGGAACATCTTCCAAGCTAAATAAGTCAGTTTTTCTATAACTGATGTACCATAGAAAACTAAACCCTAAAATAAAATCAAAAGCAGCTTCAACCAAGTTTTATTGTGCAAATGTATGCAGCCAGGTTATTACAGATTTTCTTACCTTGTAACAGTTTTTTTTTTTTTAGTTGAATTACACAGGATGGCAAATTATATGTGGAAATGTTTCATGTTTTCTGTTACAAAAACCTGCTGGCATTTTAAGAGGGATGTGTAGCATTACATAAATCTCTGTTGCACAAAGTTATCAATTCACTTCTCAGTGAGGGTTTCTCTTTATGTTTCTTATAGACTGAGTGGGTGTTTTTCCATATTTCATCTTTGTTCTGCTGTGTTTGTTGGGTTTTTTTCTCTCTGTCTCCTTCATTCTGCTGTATGGATCCTCACACATTAGCATGTTCCCTTTGCATCCTCTTTTGATTGCTTCCCTCCATTTCTTTTCCTCGCCACATATATTCTCTCTCACAAGCTTTTTATGTATATCTTCTGGGCTTGCCAGAGATGCAAATGACACAAGAAAGTGATAAAAGTTGCATGTTGGCACCAATATAATTAAATATTAAAGGCTGTTTTTTTCCTCTCTCTTTCCTTGAGATGCCTGTGGATATTGCTTTCACATTTCAGAGAAAAGACAAAGAGAAATCTACGAGGGACTTGATTTGCTCCCAAGCCTCCATAATGTGTTTTCTTACTGCATCACAAAGGATGACAAAAAAGCTGTTTATGGGAAAGCTTTGTTAATTGTTAAAAAAAAAAAAAACTTGATAAAGTGCTCTGGCAGAGAGTGTACTCTCATTCTTCTGCAGAATGTCAAACATCACAGCAGGTGGGAAATCATGGGAGAAGTTTCTCAGTGTTGCAGAACAAGTTCTTAAAAATGTTTTTAAACTGACGTCAGTCTTTAAGTTTGATTCTTTTATTTCTGCAAACATTTTTTCAGTTACAGTTGTGCTGTTACATCATTGTTGCATTCATGATTGTAATGCAAAGTTTGACCCACTTTCTGTCTTTCTTTCCTGGCATTGTTCCTCAGCTCCAAGGATCTTCTTCCCTCTCGCTCCTTTTTGCACACACGCCGTGTATTTACGCGTCAGTGTGTGTTTGCATCATCTGTCGGCTTGGTGCTGCTCTGCACCGTTCCAGTAAGGGTGTGTGTGTCATGGCTGCATCCCTGCATGGGGTGCCGGCCTTTCTGCTGTGCTCATCCAGGCACAGCTAAAAAAAGAGATGAGGAGGAGGAGGAGGAAGAGCAGGAAGAAAAGTGGGCTTGTTGCTTTTAATTGAATTGTAAATGCAAGCGGAGGGGGAACGGGCCGCTCCTGGCTGGGACAGACAACAGATGGAAGGCAGGGCCTGCCCTTCAGGGTGAGAGGGGTGTGAGGGGCTGACGGACAGACTGACGGACGGAAGGGATGCAGAAAAGGGAAAAACGACTATTATTTCTCCGTTCTCTCTTCCATTTCTGCTCATTAGGAAAAACAGAAGTCCTGCTTTCAAACTGGAGAAGTTAACATCTGAAACGAATGGATAATGTTTGAGCAGAGTTGAATCATTGAGCTGCGATCAGCTCAGTGGATTCTCCCTGTTTGACAAACCTATGGATTACACTCTGATCCACACTGTAAAACCTCATCAGTTCTACGTACTTAAAAAATACATGCTCAAAATGTTTTAGTTTTCATTAAATTTGCTGATTGAATAATATTAGCTTGTGCTATATTAATGAGCATAGCTTAATAAATCTGAGTTTGTTATAATTACTTAATTAATTAAACCCAAAGTTCTCTAAAGACTCTTTTCAAATTGCTTACATATAAATAAATCTACTCAAATTAAACTTGTCCTGAATTTCATTTGCTTCTTTATTCATACTAACTGAAAACATTAATAGTTTGTCCAATTTTTTTAATCTTATGCAATAAACATACAATTCACTCATGGTTCAGTTTTATATAAATAAAATCTGTAATACTTCTCTGAAACTAGATCCATTCTGACTGACTGACTGCATAAATAAAGCTCCACCTTAACATTTTTAAACCACTTTGTAACAAATAAAAAAGTGGTTTAGTTAGTTGTTGGTTTAATGGTAGTAGCTCCTGGCGGCACAATGCATTGTGGGATAAGTTGCTTGTGAATTCCCACTGTCACATATCGTTTCACATTGCTTCAAATTACGTTTCAAATTTTAACATGTTTTTACCTCCAAAGGTCCTCAACTTATTTAAATCAAGTGTACATTATATGTAAAACTAAAAAAGGCAAATCCTCTTAATTTAAAGTCAACATTGTAATTCACTATCAACCCAAATATTCACTGTTAGACCAAGTCAAGTTATATTTGTTCATCTTTTTCTATTAAATATTGTTGAACTCAGAAAAAACAGATTAAATATTCTCTCTCCTCGTTTTCCCAGGAAAAGAGGAAAATTACCCCAGTCTGCCCCCTTCAGGTGATCCTGTCACTGCAGTTCAAAGACACACACACACACACACACACACGCAGCACCACTAGGTCAATACAGGCTTTACCCCTGACTAGATTAAGGGTATTTAGGTTGTTTGTGCATTTGCTGTGATAATAACTCCACATGGGGTCCTTCTTCACTTTATTGAACTGATCAGCAAATCTGGGTTGATTTGTTCTTAACCAGTTTAGAAATTCAGTAAAATGTTGAATATAGTTTGTTTGTGTAAAACCACTTTAAAAGTTTTCACGCCACATGGACGTTCAGAGCTGCAGTCTGGACCCGGTGGGTGTGAATACTTTTATTTGGGTTACTCTGCAGGTCAACATGTGATGCTTGAAGTTGGCGCTCAGTGTGACAGCTACTGATATACAACAAGGTCAGAGCTGGAGCAGGCTAGATAACGACACACACACACACGAAGCTGACTCACACACTCACACTGAGGCACAGAACGCATGAAGAACATTCCAATGAGAACGATTGATTGATTATAATATGTCAATAATTGGCTAACTGGGACATGTTGTGTCATCATATGAACTAACGTTGGGATTTTGTTGACATGTCGTGTTTTTGCTGCTGAACTGAGTCTGTGTGAGGATTGATGACTCATCACCAACAACAGAGAGGATCCTCCTTACCTAAACGAATATGCAAAGTCTTTTAATACGCGACATAACATTAAAACCAGAAACAATGTTTTTATTAGGATTATATGTAACTGACATGTACGCTTAGTTCACACAGCAGAATTTTTATGCTGATTTTCCGCTTCCAACAATTGGAAAGACTCTTCAGGGAATCTTAAGAGTCATTCCTGCCGTGTGTTAGGAGTGAAGAACATCAGAACCGCTTCGATCTGAAATCAGGGACGTTCAACATGTTGGATTGTCTTGGCCTGATATCGAAGCGTGTGAGTTTTTCCCTGAGTGAAAATGAGAACGCAGCCTGTTGAATGTAACCAATCATAAAGAGAGTCTACAAAAACACAGGGAATCTGAAATATAACAGAAAAAATTGTCGGCTTTGAATGCATCGTTCAGAAACAATCACTGTTCCCAGTCGGCCATGTTTGTTTGGTGAGATTTCCTGTCTGATATCTGGACGTTTGTGAGTGAAATTGGTCAGTCGGTCAAGTGTTTCTGCTGCCATGTGGATCAGCATCACACACACTGTTCAAACCTGAACAGCTAAGATCTTTATCATCATGGTTGGTCTCAGGTTTTGAAACTTCGATGACAATTTTAAAATGTAATCATGTGAACCAGGCATCAGCTCACATAAGTGGAGGGAAATGTTTGTTACAAATAAAAATGTGAAAAGTATGGAGTCCATTTCTTGTCTGAGTTAATACTTTGCTGATCTGCCTTTTGCTGCAGGTCTTTTGGGGAATGTCTCCACCAGCTTTCCACGTCTGGAGAGCAAAACTTTTGACCTTTTATGTCTTTAAAAAACTAAAATATCTCTAAACATCAACTTCAACATGCTATCAGTGTGATTTATGCTTTCACATGGTTCTCTTCCAGAATTATTTAGCACCTCCCAGGAGTTTTCCTGTTCCTGTTGAAGAAAAGCATCCCCATAGCATGATACTGCCACTTCTATGTTTAATCTCTATATATACACATATAACATTTGCCTTCAATTTTACATAATTCTTCCTCTTTCTCTTTGTCTGCCACATAATTGCCTTTTTGCCTGTCTGTGAGTGATCCTCCTGTCATCATGATCCCACCGGGCTGCCGTAGTTCATATCTCTCCTCTCAGACAGCAAACTGTCAGCCTTGGGCCAGACCTGCTCCTGCATCCATCTGAAACCAACAAACCGCCCATCATTCCTCACCGTCCTCCACTGGATTCACCTTCCCTCTCAACAGTTAAACCTCACCGAACTCCAGCTGCTGCGTTTTTATTCCGTTATTAATCTGTAGATGCGTCTGCCAAATAATTAACCTGGCTGAGTTATTTATTCCCTCGATAATATTTTGCTGCGTTTAGGAGGCAGACGGAGGAGGATGCCATTGAAATGTCCTCCTGCAGTTGAAGGAGAGCGAGGTCGGCGGTGCTGCATGTGAGAAACCACGGCTCCAGAGTTTACGCCTCAGCATGCAGGGTACAGATGATTCATGTGGGGGTATTTTAAATGCACCTGTAACCTTTTCAGCTAATGAAAGTGAGGATGTGGCAATAAAATGGGAAAAAGCTGCGTATGACTCATGCGCGGGTTTAGGTGTAATTCCCGGCGCAGTTCTATTGATAATCTCAGAGGTGCAATTAGTTTTAACAGATATTCGGTTGCAAACAGTCCTTCTTATGCAAACATGAGTTTTCGCCAGTGCACGTCTAATAATGCCCAAAGTGTAAATAGAAACAGACGTTTGCTGCTGGGTTTGTGTTGTGGTGAAGCCCATCCTGGTTGGCTGTGATTATTTCTAGGAGCCGTAATGCGTTGTGCCTAAGGTGAGAGGCGGTAGATGGAGGAGACGTGAATGCTTTGGCCTTGAATTTCATCCAGCGCTGCCTCCCCATCTCCCAGCGCCCATTTCTCTCTGCTGGAGAGTGTGCCACAGGCTGCAGGAGTGGAGGGGCCTGGCACAGCTGCTGGAGCGTTTCAGCTCCTCAACTTCTCACTGAAACAATCATTAACAGTACAGAAAGGCCAGTAGGAAGCATCACAACCACAGCAGTGTTTTAGGAGCAAGGAAGCTGGTCTGATGTCAACGAAAAACATTTTTTAAAAATAATTAGAAATATGTTGGGTTTGCATTTCTATATTGATTGTATTTTTACTCAGAGCCAATTAAAGTAATTCAAAGCTAACACAAAAATAGGATATTGTCCATCTGAGTGTAATTGAGGCTGTTTTCCCATTTTCCCAGACTCAGATTGATTTGGGAACAAAGTTGCAACATTTGTTCCATTTCCAGCTGCTCTGGTTCTGTTCCCCTCCTCACCTGTGGGGGCGCTGCAGCAAGAACCACTAAATAAACTAAACAAAGATCTGAATGTAACCTCCTTTTTTACAAAATGTAAACAAAATGGAGTGGTGTCAGATTTTAGTGGTAGGAGGAATTCTGTTTTGTGTTCTAAGCCATAAGTTATTTTTCTCCCGCTAATGCTAGACTAACACATTTCTTTTGGTAGCATTTACCCATAATACCCTGCACTGTAGTCAACTTCCTGATTTTGTAGCGGTTTGTATCGTTCAGATAAGCATTCGAACTGCACCAGAGTTCACTTCAACGAAACACAACTTCCAGAAAACCTCAAAACACTGAGTTCGTATAAAAGACTAAAAAGCCTGCTGAGAGTAGCAGTAAGTGAAACATTGTTCAAATATATTATGTATATTTTCCTGATGATTTTGATGTTGGCTTCTTGCTGTTTCATAATTTTTTACTTTATATGTTTTCATGATATAAAGCACTTTGATCTGACTTGTTGCTGAAATGAACAATACAAACAAACTTGACTTGTGATAGAAAATTCAGGTAAAACACATAAAACTTTGTGGCATCGTCAATATATATCAAAACTATATGTTTTCACACATGTTCCCTCCCCTCATCATATCCGTGACTACGAGTGTGACCCGCTCTCTAAGGAGTGAAGTCATGATAGTGAAAGAGGCCTCCATGTGCGATCAAATGACAGCATGAAAAACGTTGTGTGTGATGTGTTTTTAACATGCAGCCGAGTCGAGACAGGAGAAGGAAAAATAGCTGGTAACAACTGTGCAGCTGTTGAAGCCCGTCGACCTTGGACGTCAGGCTAAGTGTAATTATTTTTCACGCATGCCATGTTGACCAGATATACGCTGCTCGGCTTCTATTCATCAGGCTTCCTGTGTGGGTCGTGGAGAGACGGCGCTCACATGTAACGTGACACGTAGCAACTGTGGCTTTGACTCCTTTTACTGATAATTGAAAATCATATGTGATCCTACCTTTATTTATGCATAAAGCATTTATTCTTCGACGCAAACTTCCATTTTCTTCCATTTGAAAGTATCTGGCAGCTTTAATGGAGATGAATGTATTTCAACTGAAGTTTCTTTGATTATTTTCAGTCTTTTCAATGAGAGACTGTTATACCAGGGCTCTGCACTGCCCCCTATCTGTGAGACACAGTACTCTCCGATTCACCCTGCACATTTATACACAATCAGAAAGACTAAATATGTCACTGACATTTATTAAATGTATTAGACTGTGGAAAGTAACATTACATGTACATAAACAAGTATATTGGCTTTCTTGTCGTGTTTAGACATTACAAATGTACGCAAAACTTTGTCGATATTCGGCTAACATAAAAAAAAACACAATTTTGCAACTAAGATGTTTCCATTCAATAAGAAACGCAATTAAAATCACAAATTAATATGTTTGTTCATGCAATAAGTCTTAAAAAATATGCTGAGTCATCATCTTGTTACCACTTCCTGTCGTTTTCTTTGTCTTTCCCTCCAGTAGAAGCATCCAATTATTAATAATGTGACTCGAGATCCAGTTTTGCGAAATGCAAAGCCGAAAAACCACCTCATCCTAGCGCAAAAAAGTTTTTATTGGAAAAACGTAACATTTTTCAAATGTGACATGTTTCCACGAAGCAAATTTATTTTTATAATCCAATTTGCACAATTGTATAATTAATGGAAACGTAACTATAGGAACCTGATCCTGACCCAACCATCAAGCAAATCATGTTGGGCCGACCCGGCCTGAATTTTACCAGCCACCATTTGCCTGCTACATTCACTACATGTGACACAGCGCCCCCACAGGTGAGGCACAGCACTGCACTTCCTCACCCCACAGATAACTCATAAATTCATAGATTTTGACCATAAAAATGTTGATATTACCAATAAAAATAATCATTGTTAGCATCTGTGTTAGTTGTTAGGGCAGTTAGGGCACTAACTCCGCTGACTGCACATCACTGACCTGTGAGCCTGATTCCTTGGTGTGGACAGATAAACGTTTGACTGAGAATCACCTGGAGGTTTGTTTAAATCTGATGTGGGTTTGGAATGTGGCTGAATAATTTCAGTCTGAAGCAGAGGAAATGACTTCCCTCATTTTCCTTATTGCTTTGTGCCAACATGATGGTCTCCATCCTGCTTTCGTTGGCTGGTTTATGAGGTGACACAGTCAGTCTGTGCGCTTGTCATCTCCTACATCTGTCCGCCCGTCAACCCATGTGATACAGCAAGGTATCCGGCCATACGTCCCTAAACGCCAGTCAAAGAGACAGCAGCGATATCGAAGAGAGTTCAATTAAAATGGAAAGAAGCGGGTCATGTTGGGTCAGACCTCAAGATGGAGGAGGTCTTTTTTTTTCTCCGTCTCTCCACTCTGCCTCGCTCGGTCTCCTGTCACCCCGAACGCAGGCCTGACATTCAGCGGAGGACACCCCTGGCTGCGGGTTAAAAGAAGTGGAATTAATGTGAGAGCTGAAGCTGTGGGGCAGCGGCGGTGAGTGACTGACACAGTTTTTGATGGAGAGCAGACATGGCTGACTCACCCTCCTCTTCTCTATCTCTCCATCTCCTGCCCGTTCGCCAGGGTCGCCCCCCTCCCCGCCCCACCTCTCCCATCCTCCCTGGCCTTATTGTTTTACATCTCTTCATTCAGGCTTTTATGGCTGCTTCGTCCTCGTGCAAACCCATCTCACCGCCGGATGATGGGTTCCTCCCCCAGTTATCGCGGCTATTTATTATCAGCACCGATCCACATCACATTTCTCTGACTTTGGGAAGATGGTTTTCACATTGGGCCGCTTTACTGACTTGCCATATAACAAATCCATTGATGGGACGCGCACAAACACACACAGACACACAGAGAGGAAACCTCACATCACTATATTACACTGCAGATTTACAAGGTGCTAAAATGCTACGTAGAGTTTTAATGCCTCATAGTGGAATACTTTGACAGCTTTTCCAGATTCCTTTTAGTGGGAAAAAATGCTTAATGCTTTTTTTTTTCTGCTGCTGTCTTTGATAGCTGCGTGACTGCTGGCTCAGCCATGATTTAATGTGACTGAAGCTCAGGCCTCTTACATTTGCTGAGACACAATTTGTCTGTTTGGGAAAATCATACTTTGGAGGAAAAGGTGTCAGTCCATCCTGATTACATCATGTGATTTCCAGGAGTAAAAGGGATTTTGAGGTAAACAGACTCTCTTCAGGTTCTGATCTTTAAACTGGATCATCTTATTTTAGAGCCAAAAAAAATCTTCATTGGATTATATGTAAAATAAATTATGTTTTCAAATGTTTAGAGTTTAGAGATTTGTTTTGTCAGGGAACAAATGAAAATCTTATCATGGAAAATGTTCGGTACAACAAACTGTTTATTTTTTTATTCTCCACATGTTTGCCTTCTCTTTAATGCATTTAATATATTCTCTGTGTTTATTTGAGAACAAAAATAGAGTCAATAGTGATACATATAATGTATTTACATATTTATTCTGTACTAACATGGAAAACTCAGTCAGTGCTTTAGCTGCAGTGCTGCTGCGAACTCCGGGTTGTTTCCTTGGAAGAATTATGTCCGTTCAGCATAATTTGTCATTTTGGGCCCAAACTTTTTCTCTTTCACACATTTTCACATTATCAACACAGAATTCATCCCAACACACACACACTGAAGCAGATCAGGAACTCCAATAGCTTTTACACATTATAAAGTATTCTGATAACACAAGGGGATAATAATTAAGATGTCATAAAACATGGAAGAGCTGATTAGTTTATTAAGAAAATAAACTTACAAGATTAAAGTTACCGTTGTTTGTGAGTATAAAGTTTATCAGTTAAGGAAAATTCCTCTCTACAGCTTTTCTGACTTTTTGTGTGTTTTCTACTGATACAAAACTAAAGTAATAAAACACAGTTTTCTCCCAAAAAGGAGTATTTCTGCTTTTTCCTCATGTCTGAACTAAGTGAAGGAAAACGAGCCTGATTACATCTTCAGTTTGCTTGTAGGTCACAGGTTTAGCTTCTGTCCACATGTGTAGCATTAGCTTGGAGGAACTACATAAGGCCAAACAGATCAATGCTTTAAAAGATTCATTTCTGCATGCAGTTCAATCCTCACAATGAGACTTTTACAGCCACTCACTTACCATTGATAATAATGGGACTGCTGGCAGAAGTCATTGTGTATTAAAGGACCAGTTCCGGTCAGAACCGGAGCAGAAATTACAACTTTCATCTGAATTATTTACAAGTCTTGATTCTCCATTTTGGTAAATTACAGGTAGATTTGGCCCTGTACTTTATTTCCTGCGTATTTGTCAATTTTAATCATGGAAATTAATACAATTTTAGTTTGTGTCGAAATATTTTTCCACAAAGCACTTTAACGTATTCAAGGAGAAGAAACCAAATTAGTTAAGGAATTATGTAAAAACAACATTTGCTGCAGTTGATAATATTTCTAGAGCAAATGTTTCTGTCTTGTTTTCGCAAAATTAAGATCTTATAAAATCATCCCTTTATTTACTTCCCCCTTCCTGCTGCCCTCTGCAAACGACTGAGTCTCTTTCTGAAAGGTAACTAGAAATCTATTGGCACATCTGTAAGTCATGTTTTAAAGGCAAACATGTTTTAGCACTTAACCTCCACAACGAGAGCAGCTGTGGGGCCCAGAGGGGCGCGCGCGCGCGTGTGTGTGTGTGTGTGTGTGTGTGTGTGTGTGTGTATGTGTGTGTGTTTGTGCAGACTGGATGCCTAATTAGCCAGGGTAGCTTGATGACACAATAGCATCCTTTGAGATATCCAGTACGATTCTGGAGCCGAGGTTTCTGTGATGAGGAAGATCAAGATAAAGGGTCAGAAAAGTTAATATTTACAGCCTATATTGACCCACAAAAGCAGATAAGCACATATACTAAACTCTATTCAGGCCTCTGGAGCGATTCCACTCTAGAATTACATTTATTTGCAATTAGAGCTGCAGGTCTTTTGGGGTTTGACTCTACAAACCCAAAAGCTACAAACTAAAACATATTTTTATTACTTTTTGGAAAATAGCTGCAGCTCCAATGGAGAGCATCTGTGAACATCACATCTGAAGTCTCTATTTCCTGGACTTTGACTAGACTACTCTATTGCATGAATATGTTTCAATAGAAACCTCTGTTTTCTTCCAGGATTTATTTATTCGTCTCCATCCGTCTTCACATCAGCTCTGACCAGCTTCCCTGTCTCTGCTGACGAAAATAGTTCATTCCTGAATCAAGTCTTCATGGTGATGTGCAGCATGAGTTTTAATTAGTTTCAAATAGGAATTTGTCATTCTACATATTCCAGAACGTTAGGATGAAATCATCAGTTTAGTATATCATCTATCCGTTGTTATCGGCTCCAGCCTCGTTTCACCAGTTTAGGTCTCGATGCTTTAGGGCCTCATTGGCCAGTTTAGATGGACGTCCATGTTTTGTTTGGTCTGCCGTTTGTCCATCCTCTCTCCATGTCCAGATGATTGATGGATCAGAGCTCTGGGAGAAGTTCAAAACTGAGGATGCCGTTTTAAAACCTAATGTTTTAAACTTCCAAACAGCTTCCTCCCTGACCCGTCTGCTGAGTTCAACCAATCAATCAGGTTTATTTGGAAAGCACTTTTCAGCAACAAGGCAGTTCAAAGTGCTTTACCTCATAAAAACACAAAAATACAGAGTCATAAAAGCCAGTAAACGTCATCGTTACACATCAAAATGTTGGTCAATGTTTCATTTATTATGGTTCCACAGCAGGTTTTAGCCTTGATTCAAAGGGACTCAGCGTTTCAGCTGTTTTGCAGTTTTCTGGAAGTTTGTTCCAGACTTGTGGTGCATGGAATGCTGAGTTCTTCAGGAAGTTGTTTCTCCACTAATGTTCTCTAACAAACCTCTGAGGCCAGAAACAGAAAAACTGCATTTATTGAGACCTTAAATTATGTGCAGACGGACTTTTACAGATTCTGTGGTTTATGAAGAAAAATGGCTGCACAGCATCTGTTTTAAGAGTGAAGAGGGCTAAACATAGAAACAAGCCACACTTTTACAAGTCTGGCCTCTTCAATTTCAGTTAATAATATGTTGGGTTGATCTATTACAAAAGTTTGCATGGAAATTTAGCTTTTGTTGCAAAAACGTATCTGGCTGGAAAATATTAGTAGCTGTGTTTCTATAACAAATGTACACAAAACACTGCAGTGTTTCCACAAAATAAGAAATGCGATTAAAATCACATGAAGCTTGTTCACATAGTTAGTCTCTGAAAAACGATGGCAGTGGCAGATGTAAACATATGAGGTAGATAATATTTCAGTGTGTTATGCAGGTGTTTTAGTGACGAGCCTCTTATTGGGAGAGGATTCTTCGTCATTTCTGTCAGTAGTAACATCCTGTTGATCACGTGACTCGTTTGATGCTACAAAAAGTATTTCCATTGCAGTTTTCCAGCATACATCTATTCTGATGTGGCTAAAAAACATCCTAGCCAATAACTTTTTATCAGTTTTTTTCAGAACTGACACATTTCCATTAAGCAAATTATAATTGTTTTATTTCAATTTGCTTAATTCTCTGATAAATGGAAATGCAGCTGGTGACAAAATGTTCATTGCATTTTTCTGCTCATTCCAAAAAATATTGAGATAATTTCAGAAACTGTACAACATTTGGAATAATGATGTTGTGACTTTGGATTGTAAGAGTAAAACATCTTTTTTTCCACAAATCTTAACTGGTTTACAGAGTAATGGAAACTGTTCAGTCTAAAACTCCACATCTCAATCGGTTAAAGGGTGAACATTTAAAATAAATCTATACCACATTTCTAAAGGACAAAAAACTCTCTTAATGGTGAAATCAGCTGGAAAAACATGTTTCCAGCGATTTATTTATTTATCTGTAGATAAATGTTCTTTAGTGGGTCGATGTAACGTGGGAATGAAGTGCAGCTGGTGTATTTGCTGGATTTGAGGTTGCTGAGAACAGATACGCGTTGAGTGGAACCCCAGCTAGAGCTGCACTCATTACGGATCGATCCCTCCGTCTCCTGTGTCAAGTCCTCTTCAGGCCTGATTGAAGTGTTTTCACCCATCTTCACCAAACTGTACGAAAAGAAAACATTTCCCTGCCTCCTATTGATTTCAAAATGTCAAAACCTGAACCTTAAGAGGAGCGGAACATACTCCAAAACGCTTCCAGACGGGCTTAATGGCTGCCAAATAAAAGCTGTAGGGAAAGTTTTCACCCACTTTATTCTGTGTGTAATAACTTGGCTTTGTCTCTCATCAGAATGGATTTTCTGAGGAGAAACGCCAGGTGAAGCGCATCACCCAGCCGTAACGAGGCACAAACTGTCAGCCGGGCGAACATCCTGCCTGCTTCCTGCAGGATTAGGCTGGTTGGGGAATGTTGCAAATTAATCCGGAGTGTAAGACCTCACACTGCAGCCTCATGCTGGATTAGTATTAGCTTTTGTTTGATTCATTGTGAAATAAGCAACATAATCCACCTGGTGTCAGACACAATAAAAACACACCAACTGGCACAGAAACAGGATTAGGCTTAGAGAGGAACAGCCGGCCTGACTGCCACCAATCCAGGGAAAAACCACAGAGTCTGATCTGAGCATTAAAATGAAGTTTATATAGAGTATTCTTTAACTTCACCATTAAAGGTTCAGAGTCTGATGAGGTCAAAGGTCATGAAAACTGCTGCCGAGCCAAACTCTAAACATAAAAAAATCCACTCTACTTCTGCAGGTCTCCAAAGACAGGTGTGTCCAGGTGTGTCCAGGTGTGTCCAGGTGTGTTCCGATGTGTCCAGGTGTGT